ATGTGGTGTCGTCTCTTATTGTCTCGTCTATTGTTTCTGCCTGATAATCCGATACCTGATCGGATTTAGTTTCTATTTGTTGTTTTAAATTTACAATTTGCTCTTGTACTTGTGAAATTTGAAGTGCTATCAATTGTTTGACCAGATCTGCTGTGAGATCGGTCCTTGCTTGAGAGTTAATCATTTTTAGTTTTTCAAAATCTAAAGTTAGCTGATCCACTTTTAATTTTTCTTATATGTTAGTTTTTATAATCTTATATATCCTAATTGAACTTATATATTTATTAATACAACTCTTGCTCACGAAATATCCGGTAGGGGTCGTCCTTCTTAGTTTGGCAGATCTTCGAACGGGTCTTCCTTCTTAAATTTCTTTGCTCAGCTGGGTCTTCTGGGGGTCTTCCTTCTTTGGCTTCGCTGATCGTTTCACTTTCTTTGTATTTTGGTTTTGTCGGTTTTGTTGGTTTTGTTTTTTTAAAAACTTTGGGTTTCTTTGGTTTTTTTTGTATTTACGAATTGCCTTGATTAGCTTTTTGTTTTATTTGTATTTTGCGTTGTATTTGTATTTGTATTTGTATTTGTATTTGTATTTGTATTTGTATTTGTTTTTGCACACCCTAAGCTCCGGTTTGTTTCCTTTTTATCTCACTTTTTTTTATCTATATCACACAGTCACTCCGCGTTTTTAATTTTGAAGGATTTATTCCATTAATTAATTGTCCTTCGGGTTTCGGCACGACGCAACACTTTTATCATTCGGTGCTTTTTAGACAACGTCGCCCCACGTTGGGCGCCAATTAAACAACTGCGGTAGCGGATTGTGTTTTTAAAAAGTTTTTATTTTACTTCGAACTTCACTGATATAGATTTAAGTAGAGGGTCACAAAGGAATTCCGGGCCAAGGGATTGCGCGATCTTAATATTTAGCTAGACTTTGCGGTGTCGCTGCTGGATCAAGACTGATTTGAACTTTCTGATCTTTGCATCGTTGATCCCTTTCGGGAATCGTTTTTCTATAAACATTTCAATTGATTTCGCCATCCCGAGTATTAGATTTCGTCATCCAAAGAGAGAACTGTAAAAGGCCTAAAGTGCAGGATCTGCAGAAAGCCGGGAGTGAGATTGTTTATGAGAAGCCGGGTGTGGGCAAACATTGGTTTTCCATTTAGGCGAGTGTCAAAGAATGGGATTGCGGCGGGGGCGCTTGAGATTGTACATCTTAGAAATCAATTAGGCGGAGGCCCAAGATTGAAATTGTTTTCGTTTTGGAAAACCAAAGATTGTTTACAACTCGTATAAGAGCTCAATGGAATTGGGTACGTTAACTTACATATGTATGTGCATATATTGAGCATACGAAATAATTTTAGCTCCCGCTCACGCGCTCATCTCCGAGTGTCCTTTTGGCAAGCATCCAAAAATTGCCAAACTGGCCTCCATCCAGCGAATGCACTTTTGCAAATTTCATCTCATCTAATCCCTGGAACATAGCCTAATCCCTCGAAACAGGCATAAACGTGTCGACAGTTTCGGGGAAATTGGCGAATTTTAATTAACCGCGTGAACCCGTAAGGAGTGGAACCCGAACTCGAAGCTAAAGCTACCCGTAGCCATGGACACCACGGTCTCCGTTCAGTGGAGGAGGATGGGCTATGGGTTGGGTTGGGTAAACAGCGATTAACATTGTTTTGATTTATGCCGCTTCCCCCCAGCAGCATCACTGGACTCACGCCCATGCCCCATCCCACCAATAATGCCTATGACAACGTCAAGAGATACCATCCCACTCCGACACCTTGGTTCCTTGTGGAGAACCATTTACACTTCACCGGGCCTTTCAAACTATTCAAAGTGAGTGGATTTTTTGAGGTTAATGCATCCTCGGGCTAGAAAAGCCAACTCCCTCGACTGCTCCAGGCTGATATTAATTTTTAATTTGCGTCTATTCATTGCAACTTCAACCTGCTTCTGGCCCCATCTCCAGCTCCAGCTCCAGCAACAGCTCCAACCTCAAACCCTTTTGGGCGAAGCGAACACTCTTATCTGTTGCACACAGACTTGGGCCGGGTCTCAGGATTTGCTCAGGATGCTAATGAAGCGATGCGGATGTGCATGGCATTGTCTTTCGGAGTACAGGGCCAGGCGTACAGACTCCTGGTTCAAAGTTTGCCCAGCTCTTTCCAGGAAAGTTTTCTTTATTTGTGTAATAATCCAAAGAAATATGCTCGCTGGCTACAATGTACGAGTATTTAAGGGGGCATAGGAATTAACTCAGAATGGGGTATATCCTATAAATATTATTTCATTAAAATTTAAATTTCCAAAGCATACAAATACATATATCTTAATCCGGTTGGTGGTTAATTTTTTTGGATGCTTCAAGTGTAACCTTCACTGCGTTCCACAAAAACTGAATAAATAAAATACTGCGTGGGTCGAAAATTCGCGCGAGACGAGCCATTTAAACGAATTAAGTGGCGAGCCCCCACAAGAAACGATTCTCTGGATTCTCTGGACTGGTCTGGATCCAGTGGCCGACTCACCTTGCAACGCACCGCCCCAGCAGAGCCAGAAGAGCGCCCACTTGGCGGTGCAGAAACGTTGCAGCCACTGCGGTTGAAAGCTGCACCAGCCAAAGCGCTGGTCCACCAGTAATGCCGCATCCGTATCCGTGTCCTGGTCTGCCCCAGAAGCACTGCCCACCCGGCTGGAGCGGGCACTATTATTGTTGTTCACATTGGCACACTTGGGATTGACGGTGGACTCCAGTGCCCCAGGAGTAGCAGCAGCAGCAGCTGCATCCGCATCCGCATTAGTAGCCACAGTTGCCATCGTTTCACTTTCCCCTTCACTCAATGTCCCAACGAGAGAGAATATTTGCGACTGCGATCCGCACCGAACGACACTCGAAGTGGAACTGAACGCAGATATTCCATCTGCCACAGAATGAAGCTCGGCCTCACGCCCCCAGCCTGACTTCTGTGTGCGTGTGCGGGGCCCAACAGCGAAGGACTTGCCACAAACAGAGCTCTGTTAAGAAGCCACCCCCACTGTGGCAGCAGCCACCCACACCAACAGCGCATTTACAGCGCGACACATTCATGAATGAAATTTGTACGCTTCCTTGCCACACACACACCCACCCACTGGTGCCTCCTTCCACCTGTCATCTGTGCAACATATGTATGTGCATAACATATCCCTTGGTCTTGGGCTCATATCAACAGATGTCATAACGTTTTCATATAGTTTTCGGAAGAGCAGTGAATAAGTAGAAGTAGTGTTTTCCAGAGATAGTCCGCCAGAAGATAGATAATCCTTACAAAAAATATTTTATATTTTCATTACAACTTTCAAAAGTTTATTCAGTAAATTTTTCGGTTTAGTAGGTCTGTTTTTTTTTCTTTACTAATTTATAAACTTAGATTATGAAAATACGTTTAATTTGCCAATGCAACAAAAAATCATAGGTACAGAATATGAATTCACTGTTCAAAGTACCGAAAGTGTTGATCAATCAAACATTTAAATGAGTTTAAGTTTCGATTGCCGAATTTAGGAGGGGTTTCCTGTCTAGCAATAAGGCCTGAAAGCACCAAAAATCGTTCCATCTTTTCTTTTCATTGGTTTTCCGTTGTTTTCTTTTGTAAATTAAGTACGATACAATGATCAAATGTTTAAGTAAGGAGAAGAAAATGTTTCGATTGGTGCATTTTGGAAAATAGTATTTGAATAAAAACTTGCTCGCTTTTGCCTACTTAATGTATAGAGATATACATACATATACATCTATATAATATAGTTACATTTATAGTTTTAAACAATAATATGATCGGTAAACAAAAACAAAAATCATTAACAAAGAGCAAAAAAAAATTAAAAGGAAACAAAAAATATTTAAAATGAACTCAAGGTTTTGGGTGTAGCTCCCCGTCTAGAGGCTTTCTCCTGCCACATTCTATAATAGAGAGAGTACACGAGTACACACACACGGTATTTACAAGATCTGGGCGTTGAATCGAAATATGTTTACATTTCTATATAAATATTATATGTGGTGTGGGTCAAAATAGGGTTTGGGTTCGGGTTTGGGTTTGTGTCGCCTCATCGAGTGCTGGCATTGCTGAAAAGTTGCATTCCTCAAATAGTGTTTCTGCTGTTCAGGGTATATGTTTCAGAGATGCTGGGTCTTAGCTGGGGTATTGGGTTTGTTTGAGTAAGCTTACTTAAAGCAAAAGTGTTTCCGTTTCCGTACACCATGTACTTAACTCGTATGTTTTGGTTATATGTAAGATACACGTACTACAGTGAACGCTTTGGGCACTACGACAAATATCACATAATGAGATCAATTGGATTTATTTTGGGTGCTTGTTTTGTTTTGTTTTGTTTCGTATCGTATCGTTTGTTTTGTTTAGTTTTCGCGTGCGCTTCCATTTCCGTTTTGTATGTGTGTGTTTTTGTGTATAAGAATGTACGATTAATTGCACAATGTCATTGAACTTAAGATTGCCTACAGGATTTGGGTGTGGTTTCTTCCGTTTAATTATGTTGATTAAGTACCTAATTTAAGTGTTCTTTGAAAGTTATTCCAATTCATAATACTTGGGCAGGCTCACCCAACCTTCATTCCATATATGGTGGGAGGGTTTCCCTAATTAAGTTCCGTTTCGTTCCTGTTAAAATTAACTTAAGTAATGTGTATAACAATGTGGGTTTTTGGATGATGGGTAAGTACAAGTTTTTTTCAATTAAGTTTCACATGGTTTTTCCTAGATAAGATCTATGCAACTTTTCAATATCCAGCAATCGACACTCGGCGACACTGTGGGCCAATGGATGGTTTACATTTAGTTATTTTCTTTTCTTGGGGATGGTTTATGTGTGTGTACAGGTTTTCTTTTTGTTTTCTTTAGTTTTTATACATTCATAGAAGTTTATCCATTTTAGTTTTTGCATTTAATATGCCATATATCATATATAGTTTTCATAGTTTCATAATTAAAATATATTTATATTTTCTCTCTTTTGTGTGTAATTTGTTTTCTGGTCGATAAGTATTTTTTTTAACTTAAAACGAATTTAACCAAAAATAAAACAAAAGTTACCACTAACTTGTGTACTTCTTCATATTTGTTGTTTCTGATTCTCTTTCTGTTAATAGTTATTTTAGTTACAGGAGGGTCTCGAAGAGAGGCCCCTCCACATTCTTTCATCATCGTCATCATCATTTTTCAAGGCGGGTGGGGTGGTTTCGGTTCAAAGGAGCGCCATGGGAATGCTGGGTGGGTGGTTCTTTAGTCGGTTTTCCTTTCCTTTCCATTTCTCTGCCGCTCAACATTGTCAATTGCACACGATAAATTTGCTTAGGTTCTATGTTTGTTTGTAAGTAGCCGATCATCATCCTACTCAGTGCTGTGCGTTTCCTCCAAGACTATGCTCGAGGCCTCCTACTCCGGCTCCGACTTCTGCTTTTGCGTCTGCTCCTCAGGTAGGCAATGGACAACCTCGCTGTACATCACTATCTCAATGTCGCCCAACTCTGCGGCCGCCTCCGCTTTGAGGGTCGCCACATCTTCCACTCGCGACAGCTTTTGCAGCGTGTGCAGCGTCTCCTCGTTGATGGTGTGCTCTGGGGAGATGTTCTCCTTCAGCTGCCGTTTCAGGCTAGGCGGCATATGAGCCGCATTGCATTCCGGCGGCGAGGCCGACTCTGTGCTGCTCGACGACGAGGTAGTAGTAATCGTACCCGTTGCCCCGTTCCCATCCAACTGGACGCCTGCTGGCCCCGAGCTGGCTGCCCCATCGCCGCTGTTGTTGAACGAGATGTTCTGTCGAAAGACCTGCTTGCTAAAGTCACGCAACTGACGCGAGGCCGTGTCCAGGAATGAAGAACTGCCTGTGCCGGAAACGCTGTCCAAATTGGAGTTTGAGTTAGAGTTAGAGTTTGAGGTGGCGCAGTGGCTGCCGCCGGTCAGAGAGGTCCAGGAGGAGGGCGAAGTTTTTCGCGTGACCGACAGAATGGATGTTTGTGTTGTGGCATTACCATCGTCTGCTGCTGTCAATAGAAATGAATAAAATAAATTAAAACCATGGATAAACTGTTTTAATCCTTCCGGATTTGAATATAATCGACTGGGATGACTAACTCTGTGCGTTGTTTGTGGCGGTGTTGGCCCCTGAAACCTGCTGCTGACTGGCCTTCTGCTCTGGCGAGGAACTGCGCTGGAATATCGTCCCCGGATTGAACAGAGTGAGCAGCTTGTCCACCGCCGACGGATTGGCTATCCACGAGGTCTTGCGGGAACGTGCCGTCGGCTGTGGACTGCTTACCGGCGCTGGCTCTGGTTCTGGTTCTGTTTCTACTGTCTCTGGATCTGCCTCTGGCACTGGCGCTGGCACAGCGGCCGAGAGTGCCACCACAGCAGCCGACTCCTTGGTAAGGGTTATATCATTGTCTCCAAAAACGGCCAACGGACAGAGCCTGGGCACTGGTTCAGAGCATCCTGATGGGGGGCCCGAGCTAATAGAGTCTGTAATGTCGGTGGAGGTGCTACTGCTGCTGCTGCCGGCACAAGCGTTGGTGCTGCTGCTGCTGCTGGTGCTGCCACTGCTAATGCTGCTGCCACTGCTACCGGGCGATGTTGAGCATGAATTGGATGAAATGGGGGAGTTGTGGGAGAAATGCGGAGAGAGTTTCTGTCCCGCAGCCTCGTCGGCATTTGTACTGTTTCGCTGTGCGTCGCTCTCGTCTGGTTCGTCTATGGTTGGCTCCACAATCACTACATTGCTGATGATCACTACACTGCCGCTTGTGGCAGTGGCAGCAGCAGCAGCCGCTGCCTCGACCGCCTCCGACAGCTGCACCGCCTTCCGGGACGACTTCAACATCGGTGTGGGCGGCAGATCAATGGGTGGCGTGTGCGGCGTGATGGGTGGCAGCTGACGATTGGCCATTGGAACCTGGGGATCCTCGTAGATGCGCGACACATGGAAGCGGGACCGAGGCGAAACCGACAGCCGCTTTATGGTCTGGGTCGAGGACGTAACCGAGGCCATGGCCGGCAGCGAGCTCGACGTGGGCAGGGTGCCCACACCCACCGCATTTAGGCTGCTTTGGCTGCCGCTGGGCGAACAGCCGCCGATGGTGGGTATGGACATGCAGCTGCTTGCCGAGCGCGGCGTGGGTGGATGCTGCAGGGGCCTCTGGGCGAGCGGCGAGATCAGCGGACTGCTGATGCTGCCGCTGCTGACCTCCGCCACACGGGACACATGAAAGCGGCTGCGATTCGGCGAGGATGACGGCGAGATCGTGGGCGGACTGGGACCCGGCGAACGGAGACGCGTGCCCGTCTTCCGCTTCACCTCCAGTAGGGCGGCGGCCGATGTGGGCATGGCGACGGTTGCTGCCAAGGACGTCACAGTGCCTGTGTTGGCGTCCACAAATGGCCTGCTCTGGCAGGTAAGTGAGATCTTCCGTGAGCCCAAGTAGTAACCGCCGCGACACCGATAGCCGCTGTTGAAGCCACTGCTGCTGCTGCTATTGCTGTTGATGCCGGCGCCGCCCACAATCGCCGCCTTCTCCGTCAGCTCCTGGGCTTGCATCTTCTCATTCCTGAAGCACATGGACCGCACTGTATCCAGTACTCGCGTGTAGTCCAAATGGGCATCGCTGCCAATCTGCAAAAAGAGATAACAAATCTAATCAGTGAGGGATCGATCCTTCATTAAAAATTAAAATTCCTTAAACTAGTGGTACACGTTTTAGCTGGTGGTTTTAGTTCTGAAAGAGGAGTCGGAACCAGGCAGCGAATATGTGCGATTGTGTGGCTTTGTTAATAGCAAAATTGTTAAAACTTTTGTTGCACAAGCCAAGCTTTTAAGAGTGGCAGAGAGGAGAGGAGGAGCAGCAGCAGCAGCAGCAATAGAAGGAGCATTTATTGATCTGAGATTCTACTTACGAACTCCTGGGGCAATGGCGATGGCGGTATAACATTTACTATCGGCACTATGGGCAACTTTAACAGAGAGATGATGAGAGGGAGACAACGACACGACACGGTGTCCACAAATGAAAACGATTCAATTAAAATTCCAAATCAAATGATCAACCATCCAAAACAAAACAAAACCAAAGACAAAAAAAAAAACATGTAAGAAAACGCTAGAGTTTTGGTTAGTCGAAACTTTAAATATCCTTGCAAATGCACACTGTGTATCATTGCTAGGATGCAGCGAATAAAGTCTATAGAACAATGTCACAAAACATTTGTAAAGCAAATTTAAACACGAAAATATAACGAGATACATATGTGCAATATCTACAAACTCTATAATAAACTCTATTTTAAACATTAAACGAAGTCTTGGACATGGATTCGAACATTTAGAGTAGAATTTTTAAGCCTAAAACATTGAAAACACACCAAAGTAAATTATTGTTACAAGATTTAATCCTATATTAAATCTCTATAGAAACGCCTTGAAATTTGCTTTACAACATGAGAGACTGAACCATCGCAACAAGTAACAAAACTCAACTTCTATTTTAATTTCGGATGAGCTGAGCAGTGAGAATACATGAGGATTTCTTTGGCAAAATGAGGAAGGGATTATCTTTGGTGCAACAGTCAACCGATTGAAGAACCTACCGTCAGACGCTTGGGCTCATCATTGATGTCGATCTGGGTGAGGGTCTTGTTGGACTTGAGCACCTCGGCGATTATGTTCAGACTTTCGACCTCTAGTTTATTGTCACGTATGTCGATGCGCTGGAGCTTGCTGTTGCCCCCGAAGCTGAGAATGGAGGCCAGTGTCTCGATACCCTTGGCACTTAGATGGGCACTCTGTAGCCCCAGCGTCGTGAGGGTAGTGTTCTTGGTGAGGCTCTCCTTGATGGTGCTCACAAAATCATTGGACAGGCAGTTCTTTCCAATGTTGAGCAGCTCCAGCGAAATGGTCTTCTCCAGCAGCTCGGCCACACTGGCGGCGCATTCCTTGGTGAGGTTATTATTCCACATGGTGAGGGCCTTCAGGCCGCTGGGCGCCCGATTGGCTGCCTCGAGGTTGGCCGCTTCCGCCAGCTGCCGCCTGGAAAGCGTGTCGTTCTTCGTGAGCTTATCCGCAAAATCGGGATCGTTGCTGGTGCTGTTGGTGCTGTTGTTGCTGTTGTTGCCATCCAACGATATATCGCTGCACAGACTCTCCGCGCTGTGCGACCAATTGCGCGTGGACTGATTGAGGTACGCACAACTCGACTCGGTGCGTCGCATTCCGATGCTTGCCCCGCCTGGCGATGTGGAGGGCGGTGGCGGCGTTGGCGTGGGACTGGGACCGGTATAGGAGTATGTGCTTGGACGGCACTCCTCGGCAATGGTCACCTTCGGCTGCTGGAATGAATCATTGGGGAGCGGCGTGGGGGTGACCGCAGCCGCCACAGGCGCCGCCGCCTCCTCTGCCACCAGCAGACACTCTGTAGACTCTGTGGCAATGGTGGCCGTCTCAATGCCACCCATCTCCTTGGCCATGTCATCCAGTCGCGTGCTCTCCAGCGACACGGACAAACGGCTAAACTCGTCGGGCAGATGGCGACTAATATCACCTTCGGATGCACTCTCAAACGCCGAGTCCATGCTGTGCGTGTCCTCAAAGTCGTCGCCTGCGCTCTTGGTGTTTTTATTTACATCGAGCGGTCGCGATCCGCCCACCATTGCCACTCCATTGCCGCCGCCATTGATGCAGCAATCGCTCTCCTCGGCGGTTACTTCATAGATGCCTGCTGGCGGCGAGGAGCTTGCGCTTGGACTGTGACTGTGACTGAGACTGACCCCAGTAACTTTATCATTTTCTGGCGCTACTGTTGATGCTGCTGCTGCAACTGCTGCTTGGGTAGTGTTGTTGTTGTTGTTGTTGATGCTGTTGTTGTTCTGTACACAGGATTCATTGGGTTTCGGTTCAACGGTTTTAGCCTCTGTTGAGGGAGTAATATCTGGCAATGAAAATAAAAACCCTTTATAAGAAATATATTCATTGAAGTGGATGCTTATATAGTTACCACATAAGTTGCGTTCATTTTGGGAACTTTGCTGCTGTTGCTGCTGTTGTTGTTTCTCCTCCGTGCTGTCCTCGGCTGCAGAAGCCATCGATGTGGCTTCCACATCTGTCGAGCTTTCTTCTCTCGCTCCTTCAGTAATTTCTTTTGCTTTTGCTTCTTCTGACTGTGGCTTCTGTTGCTGTTGCTTCCCGCTTGCATCAAATATCTCATTGCTGATCTCGCTTATGTCTTCGGAGCAACAGGCAGCCAGTGTGTCCGTGGATGGCGGTTCCTCCATGCTGCTGCTGCTGTCGCTATTCATTGAGAGCAGCTTGTCCAGCATTGACTGGCCGCCGCCGCTACTGCCATTGCAGTTCTTCACAGTGCGCACAGTATCATCCTCGGTGTTGTCGTCCTCGTTATCGTTCTCCACCTCTACCAGGATCGCCACAGCTGCCTCGCTGTTGCTCGCGGATGCTGGTGGCTGCTCCACAGCTGTCGATGGCTCGCCAGCGGCAGTCGACTCCCCGTCATTGGTCTTGTCGACGACATCTTTCACACGGTCTTCACAAAAACTAAAGTTCGTCTCTGATTGGGACACTGATGATGGACTGTAGTCCGTCTCCATGGAATCATCCACCTCTATGGCTCGCGCACGCTTCAGGGCGCCCAGTCGACGTTCCAGTTCTGTTGATTGAAGGATCAGATCTTGCAACAGATACATGCAGCCCTCGTCCCGAATGTTGTTGTTGCTTATGTCGATTAGCTCCAGACTGTGGTTGTACCGCAGCATATCGGCTATGTGCTTAGCGTCCGTACACTCCAGATCGTTGTAGCCCATCCACAGCTCCTTGAGCATCTTGTTCTTATGAAGCCCATGGCCTGTAAAAATCCATAAATAGTAGACAAAACAATACTTCGATTCGTTCGGCATTTGCTTACAGAGTTCGGTGAGTGGCGGTCCCCTCAGGCCGCAGTGCTCCAACTTGAGCGTGTGTAGATTAGAGGATTGCAAGGCGCGGCCCAGGCTTTCGGCTCCCAGTCGGGTGATCTGATTGCTCTCGGCATTGAGCAGCTGCAGCTCTTGGCTGCGCTCCACCATGTAGGCGCACAGCTCCCAGCAGCGCTTCGTCATCGTCTCCTTGTTGTACGATATATCCAGCTCGATGGCCGCCTCATAGTACTCGATCATCTGGAAGAGAGGGCTCAAGCAGCTCTCGTCCAGCGCGCATTCCGACAGATCGATGGTTTTGTATTGTATCTGGGAATCGAAGAATGCATCTCATTCGAATGAAACAAAATCTATAAGCTTTTCCTACCCTTTTGAATATCTCCTCGAGGGCCTCGCAATCGTTGGCCGTCAGTTGATTGCCTTTGAGGGAGAGCAGCGGCTGCCGCGCCTGCAGCGTCAGATCCAGCCCATTCAGGTGATTCAAGATGCTCTTTAGCGGCTCTGTGCGATGCTTTCGACACGACTGGTCGTACTGATCCACGATCTCGGTAATGCTCCTCACTAGGCAGGCTGCAAAAATGCAATGGATTTTTGTAGAAATCTAAGATCAAGATAACTGAAAGATGAATTACTTGTAGAATCGATGATTTTCATTTTAAGGGGGGACATGGAAAGTTCATGTTTCAAAAAGTTATTGAAATTTTAGGGTCCAAAATCGGGCAAAATTTTGGTTAAATTTTCGATCAGAAAGCATTCGCGACGAGCGAGTCGAAAGACTGCCCCCATTGCTTCGACGCATAAGCGAAGAATGGAAAAGAGTATCCCCGCGAATGCCAAATCAAAATACATGTCGTGTGCATGACGACATTGGTTCAACGAGCGATGACATACCAGAAAGATCATCGAATGCGAATGTCCTGCTAATAGTTTTGTGAAATAAGACGTTCGTTTTTGAATCTGTCAGATCTACAGTATTCGTAAGGGAAAAAACCGAAAAGCAGACCGTAATTGATCAAAAAGTTGTCTCCCTCTGATGATTACGTACATCAAAGAGCTATAAAAATTGGAAAGATGATATCTGTATCGATTGGAATGCCACAGTTTATAAAACTGTTGTTGAGTCAATAAACTCGTAGACGTCGACAACTCTTCCGATTCTTACGTTCCGCCCAATCAAGTGTCGCCATCTCAGAGTGGAACATACGAGTATGTGCCTACAAAGATATATTATACTCGTATGGTCAAATATGACAAATAACTAGAACTTATGGCGCGTGCGAGTGTGTTTGATTCCATGGCACCTCCCAGGCACTCCTCCGCCTCCTCTCCCACTATGAGCCATAGTCGTCATCAACAATTGCCGCCGTCGGGCATCAAACATATAGCGACGGACGACATAGACAAATTGTCCACACAAAAAAATAAAATTAAATGAAATTGCGGCGGCAATTTCCAAACGATTTTGTTGCCTTTGACTGGAACTGAGACTGGGGCAGGGACTGTGGGGGGATTGGATGACATGAAATCGTGAACTTGTAATTTGCAACTCATTCGCGTTGGACACTTCTTGCGGGGTGGGGGTCTGTTTGTCTGTCTATCATTTGGGGGAAACTAAATATAGAATACAGAAACTACAATTTGGAGAGGTTCAAGTTTGATGAGAACCCAACGATGAGACTTTTTTGGGAAGTCTTTCAAGGGGAAAACGATTGATTTTCCTACATTCTGAATGTAATTATTTACAGATCATTATAAAAGTTGGGCAATAGGGATACCCGAGACATTTATTGAGTTACCTATCAATTAACAGATCTTACGACTAGAGTCTATAAAGGGAAGAGCTTAAAACATTCCCTCTGCTGATATTTGATATGATCTGATATTTTATACCGGCGGTACAAAAATGATAGCAGAAAATCTCAGATAGCGCGAAACTGATCTTGAATATCCCAATAAGAATCTCAAAGAACACGAGCATGGCAAACCCCCTCCCCCCCAAAAAGAAAGATGTGTGCCAAATGCCAAGTGCACTTTTTTATAAATAATTATACACACACGGACACTGGCACGGACACTGGCACGGACACGGACTTCGAATTCGTTCGAATTCGAAAAACGTAAACAAATTAATCTATCATTGCATTATCTAGTCACATCGGTGTTAGAGGCAATTAAACGATTCGTTTTAGATGTGCCACAAAGTTTGATGCTGCCAACACATACAACGAGTACTCGTAGAACGGGAAATTTTGTCAAGAAATCTCTTTGTGATGGCAAAATGCAAAAAAGATTTTCTTTTCGTTTTCTTGGCAAGCGCTCAAAAGTGTTTTTCGAATCTATTTCATCTATATAATAGCTCCGCTGCTCACACAGCCATTCCTCCCATCCCCATCCGCCAATGGTGCCTTGGGATTGAACATCTGTTAAGTGATTCATTAGCGTTGAGTAGAATATTTCCGAATATTCAGAGATTTATGAAGAATCACACAGACACACCGACACGAATCGGGGCAGACAATGTGACGACCAAGTGACATTTTCTTTTGCATTGCTTTTTGTTCTTTTCCTTCAGCAATAATTATAAATAATTTCAATTTATTAAACTATTTATTATTATATGGCATTTATCGGAAGAGTAAGGCAAAACCATGGCAAGATTAGCGGCGCAACTATGGAAAATAAACAACTTTTAATGAAAAAATAAACTACATCCGACTGCCTAGCATGGATAATGGAAAAGATCACAGTGTATATATCAGCTATAATCAGCCTTCTAATCAGTGCTCTTATTCAATTTCATTGATCAAAATATCTGCCTATTGCAAGGCTGTATCTTTATGTCTAATTCTGAGAATTGAGAACTGTTCTCCCCTATCGAAAGACTTTAATAGCGATCCGAATAAACATACATACATAGGTGTAAATAAGGGACATACAAAGAACTTTCTATAGACAGACTTATCGTAAGACTACAATTGGTATATTTCTTATAGGATTGAGGATAAATACATAGGTGATAAAGGGGAAATATAATATGGAAATTGGAGAATTTAATTCTTGTACAATTTTCGATCAAGAAGGAAGGAAAGAATATAATATCCTAAATAAATGATCTTTTAATGATATTCAAACACGATTTAAAAGAGTTTGTAAAAATTGTTTACTCTCGTCGTATAACTGAGGGGAATCTATAATTTCTTTTTGTTTTTTCACCTGCCTCTTGGTGGTTCTTTCTTGTTTGGAAATGTGGCTTGGGTTCGGTTCCACGACCAGTTTTGTAATGTACCCAAAATGCTATGCAAACAGGCACTTATTTATTATTAAAAATTTCTGTTTGCGATCTATTTTTAATGATTTCGTTTGGGCAATGACACAAAATATAAACAAAAACAAGCCACACAATCCCCACCTGAGAATTTTATGCAAAAATATTCCTAAATTTAATTTATTTGTCATCGCCTTGACTATTCCACTGCTTCCCTGTTTACCGTCTGGGCATTAGAAAAATGAAGAATTGCCGTCGGATAATGATAATAATCGGATGGTAGTACTTTCAGGCACATTTAGGAGTCATGTAGGTGTATTCTTTCGCTTCTGATAAATTTGTACTACAGCGAATCCACGTCATTCGCAATGGGTACTTATAAGTCATTCTCTGTAGACATTTTTGAATCGCGTGCCTCTGTCCTGCGTCTGCGTTTACGTCTATTAAATGCCTTTTCAATTTTTTATTATTCTATTGATTTCTGTGCCTTTTCTCTGGCTCTTTGCTGACGTCGTCGTCTCTCACGCAAAGTCAAAGCAAAAGTCAAATGTACGAGAAAAAGCAAAGGTGGGCAAAAAACAAACACCAACAAGAAGCAGCAAAATTGTTCAATTAAATTGCTGTTAATTTACTGCTAAACATTTACAATGTCGGAAACTTGTTCTTGCCGCCTGTACGAGTGTTTTTTTTTTTTTGTTGATTTTGGAATGGCATCTCGAGTATAAAACTCCCAAATGATCCCCCACAACCAGAGAGAGGAACGCCAAAGACAATCGACCACAAAAAAAAAACTGCCACTAAGGTGTTTATTTGTTTAGCAAACAAAAATGGAAAAGTGCACGCACACCCGAATGATGCTAGACTGATTGAAATCTATTTAAATGGGGTCTAGAATCATGACTAAGAATCATCATTCAAGGGTTTGAAACGAAGGGTAGGAGGTTATGTATAGATTATAAAAAATGGTTAATAAAAATCCATTATAATGCACAAGAGCTAGTTAGATCGTCTCAAGAAGCCCGTATTAAGGAAAATTAAAGACAGAAATATGCCTTAAGTACACCATGCGAAAACAAGCCTTGATTCTGTATATATTATACTCTCTGGTTCCACAGAGTTTTCCCCAAAATCTTTAGTTTGAGGGCAGGGTATTCACTTAACGTTGTTCCTCTCTGGCTTTCCAACCTGTTTTTCGAACACGGATCGCGTATCGTTTCCCTTATCTCATTAGTGATATCAAACCCCGCCGCTGCCGCTGCCGCTGCTGCTGCTGCTGTTGACTTGAATTGACAAATTGGCTGACGCCATGACCGACGCTCGTTTGTCATTATCAAAGCCCAATTTTGTAGCCACATCGAGAGGAAGGGTATTACCGGCCAAGATAAGTGTCCTAGGTCTAGAGCCAGACAAGTTAATAAATAAATTCGGTCGCACCTCAAGCCAGAGAACTCACGCACTCAAGAATCGTAATTAAACACATTTTGAGGGGCGACTGACATTTCAACTCGAAATGCAATCATTTGCTTTAATTGCAAAAAAAATAAAAGCTTACTCATACACAATCATACAATATATAATACCCACGTTCTGTTCTGTTCTGTTCTGTATCCGTAAGTATGTTCTGTCGGATCTGGCTCTATTTCCCTTTCTTCGCTTTGCTGGGCTTTGTTTTTGCTTTTGGATTTGGATTTGGAATTGCATAAATTAATTACATCGGAAACGAGCAAGCATTAATCGAGCTCGTGACATTTTTGCACTGCAAGTGTTCCTATAATTATTAACTTTTATGTAAGAGTGTTTTTAAATACGAGGTATTCGAAGAATACGCGGGGTATACTCGTATATGTATGTACATATGTACATATATAAAATAAAACTTAGGTTAGTTTTCACCCACAAAAACCCTATCCCAAGCGCAGAAACTAGAAAGGTATATCGATTGGTCCCACATATACATACATACACACATACATATGTACATACATACGTATGTATATGTATAACTCAAGTTCCTTCGGCAAACTACAGAAATGCACGGAATTTAGTGTATTTGTACAAATGTAAATTTATAGTTATTTGCTTTCTTTCTTTCTTTCATTCGTTTCTGTCTGTCATAATGATGTCTTCTCCTCGGGGACGGGTGGGAGGGGGACTATTGTGCTTTTGTTTGAACGACAAACGATGACATCACATACGCGAAGTGGGGCTCGTAGTGGGGCACACAAACGAATTGACAGTGTAAGAGCAAACCAAAGGCAAAAACAAATACAACAAAAAGGCACAACACAGGCACAAAGACATAAAAACAAAGGCAAGAAAAGAATCGAAATAAACAAACAGTTGTACAAGCAAATATAAATATATGCGTATAATTTACATACACAGGTTTGCTTGTGTGTCCACACACACAGGTAAACATGGAGAAGGCAAAAAAACAGGCAGAAGCAAGATATTTCGCGATATTCGGACTAAGAGATACCCTCTACTCTGATATGCGGATCTAAATCGAACTCAACAGATGCTTTTTCTTCAATCAAAACTCGAATATATTATTTTTATTCTAGTATTTAAATCTTTATATGATCGGTGAGTAGATCTCTAGTTATTATCCATTCTTATCGAAATGATTTAGTTAGATTGAGAGATAATCTACTTCCTAAACTCGCCTAGATGTATGTATGTTTCACAGGAATGATCGCTTCTTTCTTCCAGTTGCACAACCTCTACAGAAACACTGTATACCCCTAAAGTCTACGAGTAACGAGGGTACTATAACAACCGAAAGACGAGCACAAAGCGAGCCTACGATTGCCATCGCCGTAGTCCAAGGCAATGGCAAAGTCAAAGCAGAGCGCAAAAGCAATGCCGGCTACAAATACAAACACAAATACAAATACAAATACAACAAGAATAAGAATGTGAAGAGTGCGCAAAAGCAAATGCACAGTACGACTGGAAATGAACGCAAAACAAAAGCAATAAAAGCAAATACGATCTGAACCGTAATCTTATCAGCGATTTCATTCGTTATCACTGACGTGAAAATAACAAATAACAAAATCAAGGAAACTGAAAAGCAATAACTACAATACTACACACATAACATGGTTTCGTAGGGTACATAAAGGTGCTTTCAAAGAGCTTATCGGAATGGATCCAGAAAAAGATGATCTGTATGATCCACACTCTCTTCCCAAGGGTATCTGAGACAGGCCTCTCTGCCTTTTAAAGCGCACCGAAGAATGAGGTTTTCAGGAAGGAATCACTGTCAGTTCTTTGCATGTCCCATACACGTGTATGATTGTGTTTTTCTCTTCCTGAATGGGTAAGAACAAACAACGAATGGCGCTTTGTGCATAGCAACAGTTTGTTGTGGCGTCTACACCGGTAAAAACTCGTATGTAGATGTGCACGTATGTATGTATTTATCGACTGCAGCGCCATAACCATCCCCATCCACCATCCGCATAGCCATAGCCATTCACAGCTCACTCAAAAGCAAATAAATATTTTGCGCACTTCATCGACTTGGCAGCCACCACCCACGACCCACCCACAGTTGCCCCCTACCATCCATACCATCTCTCCGATCCCTCGAAATAAAATCTGTCTTTTCTTGCTGCTGCTGCTGCCCTTGATTGTATCTCAATTGGCTGTCGGATCTGTATCTCGGATCTCTTCGTCTTGCATTGCATTTCAATTTGCAATCAAATGAATCGCTTTAATTGAATTAAAGCACAGGAAGTGTGTAATAAATGAGAAGTGTTAACAAAGTGTCTCGGTTTTGGCTTCCGTGTTTGTACGATCGATCGTTATATGTTAGCAGCGATAAGATCCCGGGATCCGCGACTCGATTTTAGAATGACAAATTGCATATCATATAGAAGTAGGAAATCTAATGGTGAACAGGAAATGGGCAGAGCTATCTGATATTTAAAAGAGTTTTAAATAAGCGGAAACTGTGAGAGCTCCTCCTTCACACATTTACCGATTGTCTTACATTATCCTATATTATAGTACTTTTCACTCACCTTGTTTCCATGGATTGGCCGGTTCCAGATAGCCAGTGACCAACGCGTTGTCCGGAAATGAGACACGACGGGGTATGGCAACCAGCAACGAGCTGTCCGACGATTTCCGCTGCAATATACTTGGCGCAGTGGACAGGACAACACCTCTCATGGGCAGCCCCAACCACCACCCCTGCCGCGGCGGGTGTCAGGGAGGAGTCCGGGCACATCGTCGAGCTGGGATTGGAGACCAGTGAATCGGTGCGCCATACCGCTGTCTGCTTTGCATCGTGGTAGCTCTTTATTTTTTGTCTTTGGTGCGTACGCATCTGTACATCGACTGCGGGCCCGGTCCGCGCCACCGATGACAATGGCTGCTGCTGAGCAGTCGCAGCCGCAGCTGCAGCTGCACTTGCAGCACTAGACACATCAGCTGTTTCAGCTAATTCGGTTCTCTCGGCCACAGGTGACAGCAGCAACAACGATGTCGATGGTGGAGCTGTCAGTGCTTGGCCCTCGGCTGCTGCTTCTGGCGATGCTGCTGTTGCGGCGGGGGGCGGCGAAGAAACTGCCTCTGCTGCTACTGTCACTGTTTCCGTTACACGGGCCGCCACATTTGTGGCGGCTGCTGTTGTCGCAAAGTGCGTTGAAATTGTTGGCTCCGTTTCATGGCCCGTTGTTGTTGTAGCTGTTGCTGTTGGTGTTGTTGTTGCTGTTGTTGTTGTTGGCTCTGCATTATCTTGAGTGTGTTGTGCAGCATTGTTGCTAATCGTTTTGTTGCCACCGCTAGCTAGTAGTTGCTGTTTTTATCGAATGGTTGTTGATTGCTCTACTGATGGCTCGAACTGTAGTTTTTCCGATATCTATCATCTAAAATCACTTTGTTTATGTACAGTGTGTGTGTGGCACCACCACCTTTAGTGTCCTCCGTGTGGGGCGTCGTGGGTGTGTGTGTGTGCGCGCGCTTCTTCTATGTGACGTTTTGTTTTTACATTTTCGGGAGTTTTTAATCAATCTGAAGGCTTATTTGAAACACACTGCAAAATGAATACAAAATAAACACACAATTCTTTATTCTACGCACGATTCGGTTTCGAGTCAACGCGACATTATTTTGCTCGACATCGTCAAACGCTTGGGCATAATCAGAGAAGAGTCAACTTACAGAAAACAAACAAACTAAAAATTTTCCGCTCAAAAATTTCCACCGCTAACGGCACAGTGGAACTAGTAGCAAGAATTTTGGTCACACCTTTTTGGCTATTTGATTTTTTAAATATTTAAATATTTTATTGTGTTTTTCTTTGTATTTAATTATTAGTTTCTATTAAGTTTGTTTTTTGTTTTACCACGACACTTCACTTTGTAACGCATTATCGCCCACTGTACAATGTAATGTTTCAAAAACAAAAGGCAAACGAATACAATAGAAAGAGACAACGAGAGAATGAGTGAGAGGGTGTGAACGTTAGCTCTCCTCCTCCCACCGCTCACAAAAAAATGCAAAAAAACATTACCTAATTGTTATTGTATTTGTTTTGCTTTTGCGTTTGCAAAGAGAGGCAGTGCGATTTTTGTCTCTGTTATACTTCCCCCTTCTTTTCCAATATTTTTTCTCACGCGTTTGTTTCGGTGTGTGTGTGTATGGTGGCTATGTATGTGTGTAACACGCGCACTGTTGCATGCAAAACTCAAATTAAAAGGACAATTGCAACAATAACAAGCACGCTCGTGTTACTTTATTCTGTTATTGTTGTTTTTTGTTGTGGTTCACTTCACTTTTCGCAGAATTTGGTTTTAGAATAAATACAAAAATTACGTCACTGTTTGCGTGGGGAAACTGCCTGGAGTTTTCGACTTTTTAAATGGATCGTATTATCAGCGCAGTAGTCGATTCGATATCTTCGATTTAATATATAATTTTATACTTTCTCACAGCACATTTTTGTTGCACTTGAGTTTCTACACTTTGGCATTTAATGGCCAACTCTGGGTTTGGCGCATTTTTATACACATACTCGTCGTATCCCTCCCCACCCTCTCTATGTTTCACGATCTGGACAACTTTCGGGCCGAACGGATTGGATTTTTATTTTGTTTTTTTTTTTTTTGACTGCATACCACGAGATTATCAATTATTAACACAGCATGGCGTGCATTTCAGAGCATTTAACCATTTAACCAACACAACTATCCAACAGCAAAACAAACATGAAAAACAGTGTGACGACCCTCAGCAATATACCAAAATATGCCGTCTCATTTTCAAATAACCGTAAATATACTGACGAATTAAAATTCTATTTTACATATTCCTCGTTTTTGATCTTCCGTGGAATATTCTCAGCTAATATAGCACATTTAGCCATGCCCACATAATTTTATACGAGTTATGAATAAATTTTCTACTTGACTGGCACTGTTTTTCTACCACGCGCGATTGCTTTGATTGTTTTCGATAATAATCGAGCCCAGAAGATATCGTTTCGACGAACATTTTTGACGATTTTCATTGGTCAAAACCGTAATCGTTTTGACGATTTTATTGTCCGGAAAACTAAAATCACGTCGTTTCCGTTTCAAAACCGCTTCAGTTACCAAAAACCGGTTCCGTTCAGGTGCGATATATTTGAACCTGTGGAACAGGGTACCCAACCACATGAAAAAAAGTTTATAAGGTTATATTATATGTGGCGTATATATTAAAAGCATCTTACCAATGCCAATTATAATACCGAATGTCTCCAGCTTTCAGCTATTAAAATGGCTCAGCCTGAATGGTTTACTATCCAAAACCAATTTTTGCCGAACAACATTCTGAATCTGCTCTAGTTCCCTGTATATGACTCTCGCGTACATTTCCCGAGGGGCTCACCTTTTCAATGATTAGGAGTGCAGTTCCAATCACCATAAGCCGATTTAAGTATAGTAACTAATGTACATAGTTTAAGAATGGTCAACATTGTGCATTATGCATTGTTGCTACCGATTGAGGAGCGAAATAAAGAAACCGTTTCGAAAAATGTTAACATTCCGCTGTTATGTTATCACAAAACGAGGGACATTACATTTTCTGGACTATAAAGTGAGCCCCATCTTTTTTCGATGGTTATTGTTATAGGCTATACTACGGTTTTCAGCCATTTATGTGATGGTCACAAAAGGGGTAAAATATATCACATCATACTTGTATGTTTGCATAACAAGAACAGGCGACGTGTAAACCACACTTACGACCCTTTCCAGTCTGGCAACCTTTCCACGTGTGCTCTCCTCTCTCGACACTCTCATTCTCCCTTAAATACAACATCAAAACAATAAGTATATATATATGTATATACATAAGAATGTACATTATACACACACACACTGAATATTTTTGTTTCTAATGATTTTTAAGCAGAATGTTGAGCAAACAGCAAAAACCAACTCTTTTTCTCTCTCTCACTGTATTTAGATATTTATATCTCTGTAGGCTAAACACAACACCAACACCAAATATGATGTCAGAAGAACCTTTATCGTACAGGCAATTAAAACTTAAACTGCAAAGTCCAACAAACTTGCACTGATTTTGAGTTTAAGAACGGAGTTTAAGACTATTTACTGGCTTAATTCGCACTAAATTTGATGTTTTTAAAAAAAAAAGTACTACGTCCGAGCCGCGAAACTCCCAGTTAACAGAGTTTTACATGGTAACTACCCGGTAACTACATATCGACAATATTTATGGAGTATGGGAATTGTTATACCCTATTTCCTTTAAATATTATTAAAATTTTTTGCAAGCTGCTATAAACTTAAAGTAATAATGACTTTTTCTCGTAATGACCTATTCATTAAATTTTAATCTTATATGTATATCTCGATCCCGATACATATTCTCGGTAAGCAAGACCATAAACTGCAAAATTTCGATGAGAACTTTAAAATGTGGAGACTATTTCAGCATTAGTGCTAAATATACAACAAAATGCATTATATCGTTCACTGCATTCATTGGAGCCTGGATGCCACAAATTTCATCAATCTCCTGCATAAATACCCTACAAGGATATTTATAAAATTTCCGCGCTGGGAAATTGCTGTTGAAAATAGGGTATGGCCAACAGACAAAACAGTTCAGAAAATGGGACGCCTGCATCATAGTATATTGTCCTCAAAGGATGCCAAGGTGCGGTTTGTACTAGTGTTGGGTAAAACATTGCTCATTTTGGCGAACGTGTTCACTTGTTCTTTTTTAGTAAGTGAGTCAACTCACTCATATTGGACACTCACTGTTCATGCACAGATCCCTAAGCACCACAGACTTGCAACTCAAAACAGATTCGCAGTACTTGCACTTGGCTTCTTGGCGTCCAACTTTCTCGAAATAATTAACGACATACTGATTTTTTAAAATATGATCGCAAACATGAGCAACAACTGCCAGAA